GAAGGGTGACTGAGGCTAATGCTGGCAAGGTAACTCACCCAAGTTCACCTATGAAAGCAGCAAGAGAGTCTCTCATGAAACCCAAGTACACTAAGCCCCAACCCATCTGTAAGGCCACATTGCTTCTGTGATCACCTCCCATGCAACCCAGAGTAGATTAGGCCAGCATTTTTCTTTTCTTAATGGCTCAGTCCCAGCCAAAAACAGTCATGCTATAAAGTTATCCTGGGAAACCCTGTTTGGAACATAAGCTGCTCTTAAAAACAGTCACAAATTGAAATTCTGAGAGGAAAGAGCAGAGCTGAAAATGTGCTCATGGTTAAGGTAGTCTGGAGTCCATTGGGAATATTTACAATGCAGCTGAGCTAGGCGAGCTATCCCCTGCTCTCTTGTCTGGTGGAATTATCATTGCATAATTCGGGTGGAGGATTACACAACTGCAATTCTGACCTTTCAGGAAAGTAAAGTCATTAATTTGCAGCACTGACTTGTTTGCTGCTCGTCTCCCTCCCACGTGATCTTTGCTTTGACTCACCTGAAATACTGGCATCTCTCTCGTATTTTTACCTTTGAAGGTGACCACTGCTTGATGTTTATTTTTAGCCATTTGCCTTTTGTGTCCCTGCCCTCATTTCATGCTTAATCCATATGAAGTATCTGCAAAGTGTATCCTTACCCTGCTCAGTCTGGAGCTAAGGCAAGTTCACCTTGTCTAAGTTTCTCCTTACACAGCCTGCTGAGAAGTGTAGTGCTAAGAAGAATGGCAATGCATGAAGTCTCCCTGCACTCACGATCCAGGTGTGTTAATTTGAAACCTTCTATGTTGCAATTTCAGAAGCACTGTAGTTTTGTGAAACACATTACGTGATGATGTCCTGCGTCGGGAAGTTGGAACATGAATCTTTACATTGCTACTGAATTTAAGGCTGCCTGCTCTTTTGAGGTGTGGAACACTGAGCAATTGGCTCTTTCAAGTACCAGTTACGAGTGCTTGAGAGGGAAATAAAAGCCCTTGCACTCTGACTGTATTGATCAGGATTAGATCAGAGAATATATGTCAGAGGCATCAACCCTGCCTCTTCGAAGGACCTTGAATCATGTGCTTTGTTAATAAAAAGCATGTGATGCATCTTCAGATAGCCTTGCGAGGTGCATTACAGTGTACATTATTGTTTGTACTCTGTTTTAGAGCAGGAAATGGAAGCACAGGGAGATTGAGTTAACTAAGATTACACAGAAATCTACAGCAGAGAAGGGATCTGATTCCATACTGTGTAAGTCCAGGTACACTCATTCCTCCTGCCATTGCAGGTACCGGGCACAAAAAAAGCTATGGTGAGTGCAGGCCAGCAGCTTGATCCTCAGTCATATTCTCCAGAAGAATTAAGTTGTTGTGCTCAGATTTTCCCAAAGCTATAGCTCCCGCTCTGGAAGGTCAAAAAATATATGGACAAAGTCAGTAAAAAGCATTCCTGGAAGTTCACAGCTATTCCCTGAACAAATGCAAGCCCCTAGCAGAATGTATTTTGTAATTAATGCTTCTTATTGCAATGATATAATATGACAATCACAACAGGGGGTTCATATAACATTTATGGTGGCATTAACAGATCGCAAATCTAAAACCAAACTCTGGTTGGCACCCTGGTAGGCACAAATAGTCTGGCTTCCTCTGAACCCTTTGCTCCTGAATAATGTCCTCCTTCCTCCACTTTTGATGCAGGGCACCGTAACAATGCTCTACTAAATAGGTAAGACAAAACATTGCCAAATTTTTCTCTTCTTCAGATAGATTTTTTTGAAAGCTAAACTCTATTTTTGCTTGCAACAGAGGACACATTTCAAGACAGAGACAGGCTTCACAGGAGCTTCATATAGTAAGCAGGCAAATTTGAAGGTCTGAAGATAAGGGAACGCCTTCTAACTCTACAGGAATGCAAAGGCATAGGACTCCTTTTTGTAGTGAAAAAACACAAAAATACAGACAAACCTAAACAGCTCAGGAACTTCCAGCCTGCTTCCAAGGTTGAATCCTGCTTTTACTGGTTTGAATTACAGTATTTTCTTAAGGTCTACATCTTTTTCCATTTCAAAAAATCTTCTATTCCCAAGTATTACCCAAGTTTTATACAGAGAGCGCCGTAGTGACCAAGAGCTCTAGCAACTTGTGTGAAGCTGGTCCTAATTTACGTGACTGCGGGAGAATCCAAGTATTTTCATCTACGTTTCTTCCTACTACTTCATGGGAACACTGAACAGATAAAAATTCTGGGATCAGTTACATTATGAGAGGGTGTAAGTTATACAGGAAATGATAGGAACATATTCAAATAGTATGAGATATGATTAAGATTTTTTTCTCTTTAAGCAAAACAAACAAAACAAAAGGGGATTCTTTTCTATCAAGAGGGAATTCAGGGATAACATATTCTGTCTCCCTTTGCAATTCTCACCAGTTTGAAGCCAAATGAAACAGCCCATCATTCATCCCATTATATCATCTTTGATTTTTCAATTAGCTTTAATACTCAGGTCACGTACGTATACTCCTGAGTAATTAATGTAGGTCTACCAGCTCCACCAGTTTTGTTTTAAATTATCCTACTTACAGGTAATCTTTTGCCTCCTTTTGTGAGCTACTAACCACAGTCTTTTGTCAGGGAAGTCCTAAGCAAATGGTATTTATACATTTTGCAGTTCCACTATATTTGAATTCCACGTGAATTCCACGTGTCTTGGATATGTTAAGTCTGAGCAAGCACTGAGCAAGTGATCTGCAAATGTGCAGTAAATCCAGTATATTTAATATCCACATACATATACTGGCTATGTAGTTTAGGTATTCTAGGAGTAATATGTCTATACTAGGTCTTGTATTGTGCCTGATATAGGCAATTGTATTGTGCCTGATATAGGTACACCTTTGTTATCCTTATTAGCTCATTTGGCATAATTATAGATACATATATGTATATTTAAAGTTGGGAAAACTGCTTTAGACTTTAAGAGCCAATTCTAATTTCAAAATCTGGAAAAGTTGGCTCAAATCTAAAACTAGTAGTACCACATGGACTTGAACCTGGCTTATCAGTTTCTTGGGCGAATCTTGGTAGTCAGTCACTTACTCAGGGATGAACTGTGTCCACTGTAATCTCTTTTTTTTTTTTTTTTTTTTTTGAGACTGTCACATTCCTTTGAGCCACTTTCATTCCACGAAACAGTATTTTGGCAGGATTTTTTGGTGAACTCTTCTTACCATAGTTTCAATGCCTGGAGTTTATTCCTATAAAGGACAAATATAAATAAATAACAGTAAAGGCTTTGATTTATGCATGCTGGTAGATTAAAGTGCAAAGGCTGCGAGTAGCTACTGACCTCAAGTGTCCTCATTGCCACTTTCCCAGAGGCTGCTCCAGTAGAACTGACAAGCGGACAGGACATACAGCTCCCAGCTGGTTGCTGTTGACAGTTCAGTATATTAAATTGAAATTAGCTACCCTTTACTGATACTTGGAGGCATCTATTTCCCTGTCGTACCGACCCCTCCTCCCCAGCACACACACATGCACTTTGCTGATACTTTCTACTTACTGTTTCTTATTTCTTTTTTAAGTATTTGCCTGCTACAGGTGCATTTTGTACGTGAAGCTTTCAAAACATTTCTATGGCACTTTAACATCGCTACAGAAGTGCACAAAGCTAAACACAAGGCAAAAAAAAAAAAATTACAAGCTAATAAAAGCTAGGAAAAACAACTCTTCTTCTAGAAATCTACATAGGTTTAATTTTGTGAATTACTGATGGTTTTCCATTCACGTTAGACCAGATTACTCCGATATCCATCAGCTAATCTGTTTTCTCCTCAACTCTCTACCTGCCAGGCTCTGCACAAGGCTTTTCTAAACGACCTGTCCCAGGTGCCAGTGCAGGTGCCCAGCTGAGCAATGGTGGCAGCAGGCGGTAATCGGAGAAGACTTTGGAAGGGGCACAGATTTCAGAATATTTCAGAATATTTCAGAATATTTAAGGTTGGAAGGGACCTCTACAGATCATCTAGTCCAACCTTCCTGCTCAAGCAGGCACACCTACAGCATGTGGCACAGGGCGGCATCCAGGCGGGTTTTGAAGACCTCCAGAGAAGGAGACTCCACAACCTCCCTGGGCAGCCTGTTCCACTGCTCTGTCACCCTCACAGTAAAGAAGTTGCTCCTCACCTGGAGACGGAACTTCTTATGCTTCAGCTTGTGGCCATTACCCCTCGTCCTATCGCTGGCCACCAGTGAGAACAGTCTGTCCCCTTCCTCCCTGCATTCTCCCTTCCTGAACTTAATGAGATGAGGAAATTACTGATGCCAGGCCTTCATGGGAAGGGATTTCATTGTGTCTTAGGCTTGTAAGAAACAACCCAGCTCGGGATAACTGTGCAATGCTGCTCTAGATGACTGTGCTTGAACTTGGCAGGTAGAGCGGATGGTCTCTAGAGGTCCCTTCCAACCTCAACCGTTCTGTGAGTGCGTGTGTGAAGCCCTCCGTGCGGGCGGATTTGAAGGGAGGTCGGGTCCCTTTCCGAAGAGGCACCAGAAGGTCTCATCTACCCTGACCGAGCAGCACCGGTGGCCAGGCTGGTGGCAGGCACAGGGATCCGGCTCAGTGAGGCAAACGTGGAACAGCCAACTCATCCCTCTCGCTATACCTATCTGTGGATACGTCTATATAGAGGCACGGGAAGTGAAGGACAGACACACAGGTAGGTGCGTGACGCGCTGCCCGGGGGGCAGGAGGACGGGGGCGGGGAAGCCCCGCGGCCGTTGCGGCCGTTAGGGCCGTTGGCGCGGCGCGCGCTGCGGCGGCCGCGCATGACATCACCGCGCGCGGGGCCCATGCGCCGCGCTGCGCGCCCGCCATCCATCCATCCATCCGTCCATCCATCCATCCATCCGTCCATCCATCCATCCATCCGTCCGTCCGTCCGTGCGTGCGTGCGGCGTTCCGGGGGCAGCGCCCGCCGCCGCGCCGAGCCCCCCGAGCAGGGCCGGGCCGTGCCGCGCCGAGCGGAGGATGGCGGAGAGCGAGGCGGAGACGCCCAGCACGCCGGGCGAGTTCGAGAGCAAGTACTTCGAGTACAACGGCGTGCGGCTGCCGCCCTTCTGCAGGGGCAAGATGGAGGAGATCGCCAACTTCCCCGTGAGGGACAGCGACGTCTGGATCGTCACCTACCCCAAGTCAGGTGGGGCGAGCGGCCGGCCGGGCGGGGGGCCCCGCCTGCCCCCCACCCCCTCGCCCCTCCATTGCCCCGGCGGCCGCTGGGGGGGCCGTGAGGGCCGGAGGCGCCCCCGGGGGAGCCCGCCCTGGGCTCGGGGGGAGGGGAGGGGACTCCTGTTTTCCTGCCTTTCCTGCCCGCCGTGTTTCCAAGCGGGATGCTCGGGCGGCGTGAGCGCGGGGACGGTGCTGCCTGCGGGGACGGCAATATGGGAGCGTTGCAGCCCACCTGCCAGAACCGGGAGCAACTGGGACCGACAGGCAGGGCCTCTCTGTTTTTCTTTCTTTTTATTCATTTCTCTTATTATTATTTTCTTTAAGCACGTTCCAGAGTGACATCCCCCCCGCCCCGGTCCATAAGATGATCTCTCTTTTCCAGAAAATTCAAAGTCTGTCATTCACAGATGACATCTGTGGTCTCCTGGTACCCTTGTAAAATGATGTCTCAGGATTGTGGGTTACCGACCAGCTCTTACCCTCACGTACTTATTACATGGCGCTATTGGCTACTGCCTCCCCAGTTTTTCTTGGCATGGTAATACACAATTGTGCACTGCTCCTGTGATGCAGAGCCTGCCTGCCTATTTCTCAGGGAGTTTAAAATATTTCCACAGTGTTTTTTAATATTTCATGGCTAATGGTGTAGTCGGACTGGCTGCTGCTTGATAGATGCACACATTAGAGAAGAGGGAAAGTGTGTAGACAGATGGATGACCCTCAAATTGCCAAGATTCAGACCAGCCAGCTATATCTTTATTGCTCCTTTAAACTGTTTCCTTAGAGATTTATAGTCTGCAGGAAGCTGAAAGAACACTATTTAATTACTTCAGCTTATTAAGATTTCAGTGTTGCAAATCTGTGTTTACAGTGCTCGTGTATTAGTACAGCACCCCAATTTCATATTGGCAGAGCGTTAAATTTCCGCAGCTAACCTCAGTTTCCATGTTAACTGTGCAATATGTCAGGTGTCAGTAGCTGAGTTTCTGTGGCTGTACGGCCATAGAAAGCCACCTTGCAGTCATATTTAGTTTGCTATAACCTTGTGAATAGAGCAGCACTGTGCTAGGTTTCTCAGAGGCCCATCTGACATCAGTGGTAGGGCACTGTCTCTTTACAGAGTTAGTGGCACCGTTTGTTCTAACAAGGCTGGCTGTGGGGCACCGTGAAAGCAAAGAGAAAGGAGGAAATGAAAACGGAGACACCAGAACTGAAGGGACAGAGCTGTGCAGACCATCTGGAAGGGGCAGCCTTGACGCCATGATTGGTAAAACACCAATATGTTTTACTTGCCCAGAGAGGGGTTGTTTAGGATAGGTCTCAGGAACATCTCTAGAACATGCTTGCATGTTCTAGAACAACCTCAGCAAGCGCCAAGAATAAGAGGGCCACATTTAGGGGGCCTAAGTGCTAGAGGCCCTTGTAACAAGAGTTTTGTTGGCTGCCCTTACATTGCTTACAGTTTAGTGCCTTGGGTAGGGCTTCTGAGTCAGTTGTCAAAGGCTCTTTTGATTTGGGACAGCAATGCCAGTGGAAATTAGGATGCCTGAATGTGGTTTCCACATTGATTAAATCACGCTCCTGCAGGGGGTCCACAGGAAAGCTGGTTTTCCAGCTTTTGAATCCAGACTTGCAAGCTCCTCTACATTACCTTAGCCATAGCTACAGCCTCCTGTTTCTCAGTAGCAGTGAGAAAGATTTTCCTGTTAACTGGAGCTATTGGGAATTTTCATAAATTTGCTGTAATCATAAAGGAGGTTCATAAAAGGTATTTTGCACACAGAATGATACTTTGGGGAGAGTAAAGGATTTTTGAAATTCACTTTTTTTTTAATCTTTGAACAGAAATAATCAAGATGGAACAAATTACAATAAGTTTTGCAGTAATATTTTGGCAGTGAAGATTAGGAAACAAGGAAAACGTGGATTTTCAAATAGCTTCAAGGGAAAAATTTTGCCGCTTTCACAAAAATCAGCTTTTTTCAGTGTTTCACCAGCTCTCCATCTGCTCAAGTTGTGGAAAAATACACAAACAAGTCCCTCTGCTAGATGTGAGGGGCCAGAGCTTCTATCTCTCGCTGAGCCCTATCCTAGAATCTAATAACAGAAGGCTCCCTCAGTAGCTGTTGACCATATGTTGGTTTATCTGGCGCAGAAAATACACAAATGGTTTCTAGGCACGTGTTCCTGGGGGTCGGGGCTGCATCACTATTCCTAGGAACTGAAGAAGTCCCTGCACCATTTTGAAAACATTATGTCCTGCAAAACTGGATGATCTGCAGTCAGAAACACGTGAGATGGCCATAATACTTGGAAACAGTTACAGATATTGGTGAATTGGGAGTGACCCAAGAAAAAAACAAGGCCAATCATGGCAGAAAATTGAATGCACCAGTGGCTTTACTGGGAGTAATGTAATAAGCTTAATGGAAAATGACTCTGTCTTAATGTGATTTCCACTGACGGATACCTAAATAATGATACTCTTTATATCTTTAATTAATCCTAACACCTGTGTCCAATCAGTGATAACAGCTTTTGGGAACTGCTGCGCTAGGAGAAGCTTGGGCCTATAACAGGCTCATTTAAACAAGCTTATGTAAATATGTGGGAGTGCATATACTTTTATATGTAAGCATATTTTAGGCTTATAATTACAGAAAACCTTTTTGTCTTGCAACATACTATAAAATCAGGTCTGCTTCTGCTTTTCTGAAGAGACAAGTCACAAGTTTCCTCTCTCATGTAACTCCATTTGTAGCATAGAATGGACAAGATGAACAAGATCCACTGAAATTTACGAGGAGTTGCAAATGTAACGCGGGATGCCTTTCTATACAGCATTAAATAAATGGCTCTCCCACAACAGATTGCTTCACAGATGAGATTAGGAACTCTGGTTCCACAGGAAACCCATTGTACAGTCTGTCAAAACTTTCTTGGAATGCTCTAGTTAATATGGGCTTTTCTGTACGCTACTTGGAAATTCACATTTTTCTCTAAAGACTTCTAAATTAATGAATAAGCTGATTCTTTCATGGTATTTCCCCGGTCACTGTGTCAAGAGATAGATTCTTCTGTTAACGTTGATGATTTTAGGGGAATTAAGCCAATGCAGTATAGTATTGACTCCAAAATCATTTAGGTATTTTGCTGTGTCTTTGTATGTTGTCTGCTGACTGTACCTGATAAATACATTTGTTTTAATCATAACTGATGGACAGTAGCTTTCTTAATTGTTGTCCTTGTGTTTGGCAGAATGTGTACTTTGCATTCTTGGATTAAAGCCCACAAATCAATACATTTTGCAAACATGGTGATTTCAGAAAATAAGGTTTTTATGAACAGTAAAGTTGTCTCTCCCATCTTTTTTTTTTTTCCATATAATTTTGGGGAGTTCTATGGAGGAAATAATTAGTGTTAGGTAAACTTTAAGTCCAATCAGTTAATGAGAATACTTGTGGCTCTGACATGTTGTCTGATTCGAGAGCTGTGTATCCATTTTCCATTTTTTTTAACAGCAGATTCTCTCATTTGTGTAATTTGCCATTAGAAATCCACAAGTTCCTAATTATCATCTACAATATTATCTGAGTCAGATTTTACTATCAGAAACTAATATATTTCAGGCAAAAGAATGCTTCAGCTGTTGATCATGTAGGTATTTGGACTTTGGCTGTGAGATTGGTTTAAGGATTTCTTAGTTCTGATCTCTTGTTTCTTCCTTTGACCTTCTTATCAGTCTCAGTTTTGTGGGATCATTATATAAAAATACATCAGTGAAATGGCCTTTCTTTAAGAAATATACTTTAAAGAAAGTAGACCAACTGCCTGTGCCTTGTGTGGAAATGTTGCTTTGTCTGTCTTGGGCCATCTCAGCCTTCCTGTCTTGTTTTCTTGGATTATAAAATCTTTTTGCAGGGATATTACATTTACTCAGCAAGGTTGCTTTCTGGCTTAGGTCTCAGAAGGTTTTTGTACCGAACAACAATTCCATATTATTTAACACGGAGAGTATTACTGCCTGACTCAACACTGCATGGCAGCACAGGAACTGTACTTGCAGGGGTGTCCTAGTTGGTAGACATCTAACTTGCCAGCTAACACATCATCTGCAGTTATCCACCGTACCAGTCAGTGAGTGGGTGACAAGAGTCTACACGGAGCCACAGCGATTATGCTGGGGAGTCGCTGCATCCCCTCTTCTCCTGCCTGCCCATCAGTGCTTGGTGAGTTATAGCTGCTCGGCACCCTGGCTCGCTTCCTAACCACCAAACCTGGCTTATTGCATAAGACTGATACACCGAGGCACGGGGAATCTGAATCTCTTCCCACTTAGCCAGGCTTACAAGCTCCCGCACTGCTGGCAGTCAGTCCTGTTTTGTGCATACGTAGTGGAGAGGAGAATTGGGCTGAAAGGTTGTGGATGTGCCTGTGCCAGGGAAGTTTTCAAGCCTGGGAGCTGCCAGGCAGATGCACTGCCATGCGTTGGCTGCAGTGGTTTAGCCTGGAAATGGCTAGGCTGAGGTAACCTTGCATTGCGGTGCAGGGAAGGAGAGTATTGACATGGACAGGAGCGTGCTAAGTTGGCTGATTGGTCATAATTGCGGAATTCCCATATGGAACCAGGAGGTTTTCTTGATATTATTTTGTGCTAACAGTTTCTCCTCTTGCCACATAGCCAGATTCAGCCATCACTTGGGATTTATGAAAGCCTGTCTTCTTTGCAGGATATCGTTGCGTTGAGTTTAACCAGTTGTCTTTTGAAAAGAGAATTTAGTTGTTGCTGCCCTACGGGTGCATCCCAAGAAATTATGAGAATAGCATGAAAATCCATACGCTTTTTACTCAAGTAACTACCCATTTGATGTTCTTCAGTGAAGCTGTCTCACTCCGTGGAAATAGATCTATCTGGAAAGATATTCATCCTCCCTTAGTTTCATGAATGTGGAGGAATGTGATAGTTAATGG